TGTGTCATCTGCATATCGCAGGTTGTTAATGAGTCTTCCTCCAATCCTGATGCCTCTTTCTTCTTCATATAGTCCAGCTTCTCGGATTCCTGATAGGAGTAAATATTGTTATGCAGATAAGCTTTGCAACGTTGTTTAGTAACAATTAGAGCATTGTTAATATTCTTTGTTGTTAGTTGCTGTGGAGTCTATTCCTAGTCATAGTGACTGTATGTACAACAGAAAGAAATGATGCCTGGTCCTGTGCCATATTCATGGTCATTGGTATGCTTCAGTCCATTGTTGAAACCACTATGTATTTTGAATGCCTTCCAACATAGGGGGCTCATCTTCCAGCACTATAGTGGTCAATATTCTGTTGTGATCCGTAAGTTTTCATTGGCTGATTTTTGGAGTAGATCATCAGGGCTTTCTTCCTAGTCTGCCTTTAGGGTGGAAGCTCTGCTGAAACCTGCTCACCTTGGGTCCCTCTTGGTATTTGAAATACTGCTTCCAGCATCATAGAAACACGTAAGCCACCACAGTACAGCAAACTGACAGACAGGTGGTGGACTGGTATTCTTTACTTGTAGCAATAGGAGAACTAGGACAGTTTGGGTATTCTTTCAGGGTTTGGGCTTTGCATTGTAGCTTTACCATTCAGTGTTAGGAATGAGCAGCTGCTGGCAAGCACCTACGGGGTTTATGGCAATGCTGTGAGCTACAGATCTTCAGACATCCAGGTGGTGAGACCTGGGAAACATAGTGATGATCTGAAATAATTGTCATGCAAGTGACTTAATAAGAAATAAATCAGAGACAAGGACCTATGCTTAGTGAGAAGTTTACACTAAACTTCTCCTCAGGAAATTTGTAGGAAAAGAGAGGTCAGCTGTAAATACGAAAACATTCTGCCAGGCAAATGTAAACAAAGATGTCCTGGTTGAATTATGCCCCCCCAAAATATCTGTCAACTTGTCTGGGTCATGATTCCCAGTATGGTATAATTAGGTACCATTTTGTAATCTGATATGATTTCCTTATGTGTTGTAAATTCAATCATTATGATCTAATAGGATGGATTAGCAGCAGTTATACTGATGAGGTCTACAAGATTGGATAGTGTCTTAAGCCAATCTCTTTTGAGATATAAAAGAAAGAAGCAAACAGAGACACATGGGAACCTCATACTTCCAAGAAAGCAGTGCTGGGAGCAGAGCGCATCCTTTGGACCTGAGGTTCCTACGCTGAGATGCTCCCAGACCAAGGAAGATTGATGACATGGACCTTCCTCCAGAGCCAACAGAGAAAGTGTTCCCTTAGAGCTGATGCCCTGAATTTGGACTTGTAGCCTAGCAGACTGTGAGAGAATAAACTTCTCTTTGTTAAAGCCATCCACTTGTGGTATTTCTGTTATAGCAGCACTAGATGAATAAGACAGATGTAAATGAAAATTTTTGCTTTTTGGGATAGTCTGATGATTACTCCCCTCTCTTAGCAACAGTAATTGCCAGAGATGCAAAACATTATGAATTTTTTTGACATTCAAAGAAGATAATTGCTTTAGGTATTTTGCCTGGGGTGGGAAATGGCATGCTTTTTTAGGTAAAAGGAAAGTTATGAAATTCTTCAACTTAAAAATTGCGGTGTATAAGATACATTATATGAGTAACTGAAAATTTAGTTATTTTCAGTTATATGAGCCTGTGAGTAATATAATTTGTGTTAATTGACCTTAGAAGATAAAATTCAACATGCTCATGGATTTAACTAGAAATATTACTATTTTCCCGCCTATTATGCTCTTGATATGCAGATTGCTCTTTCAGTAGTGTTGTTTATTGGTATTGAAAAATGTTAAAATATTGCTGTACAGTTCATGCCTGAGGAGTTGATGAGCTGCTGTTGTCTTCATAAGCACAGCCTGTTTACTCATTCATTCATTCGTTTGCTCTGCCCTTACTCACCTAGACAGAAATGAGTGCAGTCATTCCTGATAACTGTGGTTTGTTTCTTTTCGTTTTTCAGCCATGCAATGATGGACCTACTGGTTGAACTTTGCCTTCAGTACCACCTGAATCCATCCCACCATGCCCTTGAGATCCGGTCTTTGGAAACCCAACAACCTTTGAGTTTTAAGCCAAATACTTTGGTTGGGACCCTAAATGTGCACACCGTGTTTCTGAAAGAAAAAGTTCCTGAAGAGAAGGCTAAGCCTGGGCCACCTAAGGTGCCTGAGGTTAGTAGGGTGGGAACCCTTATTATCTAATGACATACATGGGTACCAGTAGCAGAGGGGGCTGGGAGTGCGGAGTGGGGGCGGGTGGAGTTCTTAATATCTAAGTACTACCTGCAGACATCTGTGCTTGAGGTTTCTACTTCTATGCTCTGCAAAGTTAGGCACTAAACTGAGTTTATTTTAGGAGGTGGATGTTTACTGTTGTAGCATTGCTTAATTATTATAGGAGAGAACTAGTCTAGAGCAGAGTTGTTCGTTAGCACTTTCTGTGATGACGGAACTGTCCTGTTGTTCTGCATTGTCCAATATAGTAGCCACTGGCCACAAGTAGCTGTTGAGCACTTGAAATGTGAGTGGTGCTGTGGAGAAACTGAATCTTCAATTAATTTAAATTTTAATAGCCACAAGTAGCCAGTGCCTACCCTATTAGACAGTGCAGTTCTAAAGGTCTTCATGTCACAGGGAACAGTTGAATATATAGAGGATTAGACCATCTTCCTAGTGAGAGGGAAAAAAAGAACTGATTTTTCCTTATTAAAATCTTATGTCTAAAATATTTACTGACTGCAGTTGGAGAGTAGCTTAACATATACATAGGTTAATTGCAGGCTTTTGTTTATCAATTGAAATTAACTCCATCTGCTTATTGGACTTTAAGCAAGGCTTTTATGTGGATCTTTTAACTCCAGTTAAAAGCAGTATTATTTCCTTCTTTTAGATTCTCAGAAGATTTGCTAAATTTTCTTGTTTTTGAAAACGACAATATGGCCAACTGTCTGTCTCCTGTGAATGTTCTAGGCTTTGGAGTCACGTTGGATTGGGTGGCTGATAGATTGTATTTGGTGCCCTTCTGTACTGTTAGGAGGAATTTGTCCCTCATTTTTCAAGTAAAATTAAAATTCAAGGAAGAGAAAACATGTTTATATCCTGTGGCTTCTCTTCCTTCCTTGGTTCCCAGGCACAAAGCCCAGGTGCAGTGAAGCCAGGGCGGGTGTCTGAGTCCTGTTGGAGAAGCAGGATAAAAGACTGGTGGGTTCCGTCCTGCCTCTTACAGTCCCTCATCATGGCAAGCAAGCCTGGCCCTCAGAATGGAAGGGAGCCTGACTCAGTACATGTTTGCTGTGTCCACCTCTCCGGGATCTCAGCACAGTTTGGGTGATCATAAAGGAAGAATAATGGTGGACTGGATGAAGATTTGGCATATAACATATTTTTGATAGGCCACTTTATCTGTACTCACCTAGATTCAACTCTAATCTGTTGTTTTTCTTCGTGATTATTATATACCTAGTGTTTTAAGGATCCCTGGTTAAGAGCTATGGCTGCTAACCAAAGGGTCAGCAGTTCAAATCTACCAGCTGCTCCTTGGAAACCCTATGGGGCAGTTCTACTCTGTCCTTATAGGGTCGCTGTGAGTTAGAATCAACTCAGTGGTAATGGGTTTAGTGTTTTAAAAAATAAAATATTTTTCATTTTTTCTAGCTTAAAATGTGTGTGTTATGTATATAGGTTTGTACACACACATAATTACATACTATATATATAGATATATATATTCATATATTTGTCTGGATATTTTGGCTTCTTAAACAAAAATTGATGATTTCTTGTTTGGTAGAGGTTTTTCTTAATACAAATGGCCAACAAACACATGAAAAGATACTCAGGTCATTAGGTATCAGGGAGACACAAATCAAAACCATAATGAGATATCATTTCACACCCACTAAAATGGCTATGATTTGAAAAACAGAAAACAACAGGTATTGGTAAGATTTCTGGTGGTGTTGTAAAATGGTACAGCCACTGTGAAAATCAGTTGGGTGGTTGGTTCCTCAAAAAGTTAAACATAAAATTACCATATGATCTAGCAATTCCACTCCTAGGTATATACCCAAAAATATTGAAAGCAAGAACACAAAAAGATAATTGTACACCAGTGTTCATTACAGCACTATTCACAATAGCCAAACAGTGGAAGCAGCCTAATTTTCCATCAACAGACGAATGGCTAAATAAAATGTGTTATATATATACAATGGAATATTAAAAACCAAAAACTGGCTGCCATCTAGTCGATTCCGACTCATAGCGACCCTAGAAAACAGAGTAGAACTGCCCCATAGGGTTTCCAAGGAGCACCTGGTGGATTCGAACTGCCGACCTTTTGGTTAGCAGCCGTAGCTCTTAACCACTACACCACCAGGGTTTCCAGTGGAATATTACTCAGCCATAAAAAGAAGTGAAGTTCTGATACATGCCACAACATGGATGAACCTTGAAAAAAAATTATGTTGAGTGAAATAAGTCAATCACAAAGGGACAAATATATGATTCCACTTACATGAAATATCTGGGATAGGCAAGTATAATGGTAGATATCAAAGTTGATTAGTGGTTACCAGGGGCAAGTGGGAGGGAGGGGAAAAGGAGGACTCACTGCCTAGGAGACACTGAGCTTCTGCTAAAGGTGATGGGGAAATTTGGTAATGGATAATGGTAATGGTTGAACATCATGATAAACATAGATAATGTCACTGAATTGCACACGTGAAGATTGTTGAAAAGGCCAAGTATGTGTTACATATATATTTACCACAATAAAAAAAATAAATTTAAAAAATTATTCCTAATACTTCTAAACTATTTTCCTTTAGAAAATGTGCATAGTACTTGGGTTCACATCTGATCCTAATCCTTGAAAGATAATATATGTACTGATTTTAACTTTAGAGCCCTTCAGTGATGTTACATTTCCTGTGTTATTAACAGTCTGCTCATCAGTAGGAGTGATCTCAGGTACGTTTATTCTTCCAGGCATTTGTTTTTCACTATTTATTATGCCCCCTGACTCACTGGACTTGTGGAGGAAAGATTCCAGCTACACAAAATCTAGCCATACCCAATCCTCATATGAAAACAGAAGCTGAAGCCATTGTGGGAAGATGTACTTACAGAATTCTTTCTGTTTGGTGTGCTTTTCCAGAAATCTGTACGTTTGGTAGTGAATTACCTGCGAACACAGAAAGCCGTTGTGCGTGTGAGCCCTGAGGTCCCTCTCCAGAATATTCTCCCTGTCATTTGTGCAAAATGTGAAGTCAGCCCAGAGCATGTCATTCTCCTCCGGGATAACATTGCTGGGGAGGAGCTGGAACTTTCCAAGTCCCTGAATGAGTTGGGGATAAAGGAACTCTACGCATGGGACAATAAAAGAGGTGAGACCTCATTGTGCCTTATACATCCCATCCTGTCAAAGCACATAGAGAAAACATACATACATCACCTGTCAGCTCTCCTCCCAACGCTCCGTAATGCTAGGTAGAGATGTGTACGTTGAGTTTCCAGGCAATTCACATTTTGTCCAAAGTAGAGTTGAAGTGGGCAAAAAATAAACACGGCTTGTTTTAATTCCTCTTCAATTATGAGTACACCTCTTTCACCCCAGCCATGAATGAGTCTTTTACCCCATCTCCTTGTGAGCATTGGTGAGATAAATGAAAGCGGGGGAAACGTGAGAAGAAAATTGGAGAGTACACTCTAGAAGAACTGCTCAAAACCCACCTACAGAATTCTCTTGGCTTTCCTTTTTGGTTGCCATTAACTACTCCCAAGTTTCACACTTTGCTCATATCCAGAGCAAGTGGCAAGTATGCATTTATCTGTCCCCCAACACTGATCATATTAGAGTCACAGTACCGCCTTAGGCTTCCTCGTTGTTGTTGCTGGACACATCTTCATCGTGTGAGTGTGGCACTTAATGTTGAGGTCACCATCACAACCATAGGTGAGAGCAGCAGGTCCCAGAAGGTGAAGGCTGGTGCAAAAACTGATCTTTTGTGGAAGCAAATTTTTTCTGATTGATACAGGGGATTGACTGAGTATATATTTAAACAACTGCCAGACTAATAAAAAGATTTCTAAGATTCTTTGACCTTAAAAAAAAAACCAAACCCATGGCTGTCGAGTCAATTCCAACTCATAGTGACCCTACAGGACAGAGTAGAACTGCCCCATAGGGTTTCCAGGGAGCGGCTGGTGGATTCAAACTGCTGACCTTCTGGTTAGCAGCGAAGCTCTTAACCACTGCACCACCAGGGCTCCAAACCTGTTGCCAACAAGTTGATTTTGACTCATAGCAACCCTACAGGACAGGGTAGAACTGCCCCCAAAGGGTTTCCGAGGAGCAGCTGGTGGATTTGAGCTGCCAACCTTTTGGGTAGCAGCCGAGCTCTTAACCACTGCACCACCAGAGCTCCTCTTCCTTGACCTTAGAATTATTAAAATAGGCTTCTTAAAATTTCTGCTTAAATGACTTTAAGATCCTCACTTAATATCTGTTGCCTCACTTTTTATTTATTCCACAAATACTGAACAGGTTGGGCTTTTAAAAATATATACGTAATCAAGGTTTTCTACAGCCTTTTCCCAGACTCTCCTAGTTAAAAAAAAAAAAAAGCTTCTCTAGCACCCAGCTGAAATATTTTCAAATGTTTTGAAATAGCATAGTGTGAACATGTAGTTTTCTTATTACCAAATTTATCATGAAATTAATGATGATAGTGGAGCCTTTGTCCAGACCCCAGCCCTATCCCAAATCAGTTCACCTCTTCCTGGAGATTCTGGGTCCTGGATCTGATTTGATAATCGAAAGAGGGATTTAGCTTAATCAGTTATGAGGAACATAGGCTGTATATTCCTTGAGAACAAACAAGTACTCTGACATTTGAAAACAATGTGCCTTGTGTTTTATCCAGTACCTTTTTAAGACTTAAACAGAAATACGTTCAGCATTGTCTGCACTGGCCTGGTTGTAGCTGGGTGCGTCTGGTTATATCAGCTCTATTTAAATTGGGTTTACATGACTCTTTGGAAATAGAGCGTTCACTTAGCAAGACAGAAACACAGACTGTCCCACATTTAAGTATCTGAATGAAGAAGGCTTGCACAAACAAGTATTTCAGTTATATGCCAGCCATTGAGATATAATGCAGAAGCTACTACCTGGAAAAGGTTCCATAATACCCAAGTAATCCCACTGCTGCTGGGAACGTGGGGGCCAGAGCCTGCAGTGGGGAAACCTCATGCTCCTGCAGTGAGGAGTTGGGTCCCCTGCCCTTTTTATCCACAAACAGGGTGAAACAGAAGAACACACTGGTGTAACCCACCTGGCTATTCAGACTTTGAAATACTTCTGAACTTGGTGGAAAATGGTTCTCCCAAGCTAAGTCCCCCTTTCTACCATCTTGGGAAGCTGCCCATCCAAAACCCATCAAGTGGACTCTGACTCATGGCGACTCCATGTGTGTCAGAGTAGAATTGCTCCATAGGGTTTTCAATGGCTGATTTTTTGGAGGTAGATTGCCAGGCCTTTCTTCCGAGGCACCTCTGGGTGGACTCATACTGTCAACCTTTTGGTTAATAGCCGAGTGTATTAGCTGTTTGCACCACCCAGGGGCCCCATAGACCTCTCCAAAGTAGAAAATTAAGTGTTAACACCTGGCATGGGGGTGGGAGGGGAGGCTCTGGGGCGCTCACAGACCACCTTCCAGCCCTGTGGCCCTCATCCGTTTTCAGTTGGGTGCTGTCTGTGCCTCACTGTTGGTGAGATGTCTTGACAATCATCCACGCCAAAGCCTTGATCCCATGGTATTAACACTCAAATTGTCCCGAGGCTGTCCCTGGGGTTCACTTTCTCTTTTGCAGCTGACCCTGGCAGGCCCTTTCCTCTGTCCCTCTTGTTGTTACTTGTTGGGGGTGTGGGGTGGATCCCATCCCTGGCCCTGCAGCTGCTTGAGAAAGGGTGAGAGGAATCCACTGCAGGAAGAGATGCTGCTCAGCCCTCTGCCTGCAGAGGCCCGCCCTCCTCTGGAATTCCTGACAGTAGCAGCTAGAAAAGAAGGCTTTGCTGCCACCTGCTTCTGCAGTAGCTCTGAGCATTTGCAGGGCTCTGGAAATCCAGCATGGAAATCCAGGCCCTACCCCTACCTCATGCTGCCCTTGGATACAGGGGACCCATCTGGGCTGAGTCGGGGGCTGGACCATAGACAGGGGCTGCTGCAGATTCTGAAGCTTGTCCTCATTCTTGCCCTGCCTGCCTTTTTCAGTTCTTCTGACCAAAACTCAGTCTGAGCCCTTCCTGAGCTGTCGAGGTACAGTCACCGAGGCCACAGTGCTGCTCCCCGTGGCATCAGGCTGCGCTTCGCATGGCTCTGGGCTGGGTGATGCATGGAGATGGCCTGTGTGTGTGAGGCCTGCAGGAATGGGAGTGTGGCTGCCGTACCTCTGGGATTTTTTGCTGTGCTGGAACAGTGCTATGGTGTGGTTTCTTGATTCCCTGGTTGGTTAGGAGAAAAGTAACCCTGGTGTGAGAACTTGCTATATGGTTCTGATTGCTAGGAAATGAAGAAGGCGGTCATGGAAAACAGGACTTTTTATGAACACAGAATTTCAGAGTAGAGAAGAAGTGGTTCAAGTAGAAAAGACACTATTTCTTTTTCACCTGTGCTTGCCTACCCTCACCTGCCCCTGAGTTGTATCTTGCATGCTGCAGAATTTGGAGCAGTATGGGTTTTGAAATTTAACGTTTTTTGTCATAGACTAGTACGCAAATGATTAGCACAGATTTCGCATTTGCCGACACTTATTTATTATAACTCACGCACACACGCGCATACTCCAAAGTGTTCATTAAAATCCCAATGAGTATTTATTTGTATGTTACAGAAACTTCTGTCCATGTTTGTTAAGGTATTTAACAATAGATTTTATTTCTAGAAAACATAAATAATGAAAGAAAAACTTGGCATTAGTCTCAGAACCACAGTAAGTGGATGTAGAATCTGAGAGAGCCATAGCCTGGACCATGTTTAATATTCCTTATCTGTTATTTGTCTCCATCTTACAATAGAAATGACTAATGAAAAGATTAGGACTCTCTTTTAAGGAGCCCCATGAGTGAGTAGTTGTTTTGAGCCGAAAATTCATACACATGAAGGCTTTTAACAGTTCTGGTTGATTTAGGGGAGAACATTTGGGGAAAGACTGAGATAGTGGAAAAGTGAATCAAAGAGCGATTATTTATTACCATTTTGTACACGTACTCTAGCGATGGTGACCAGAACTTAGAAACTTGTCCAGTATGTGCAAAAACCACATATCGCCAAGTGCAAACCTGCTTCTCCTCTTCCATTTCCTTGCTTAGCAACCTTGTTCCGGTCACTGCCCCACTCTGATGCTCAGTTTTTGCATCTGGAAGACTGGTCTTTAAGGGCTCCTTCATCTTCCTCCACATCCCACAATCCATCTCCATTGTTTTCTCAGTCATTTTAAAGCTTTAAAACAGTGTATGCTTCCTTGTGGATTAACTGTGACTCCCCAAACTTGTATTCATATCTAATTTTTAGTAAATTCAACCAAAGTACATTTCATGCTCAGATTATCGTACAGTTGGAATAGTGAACTCTAGATCTTAATTGCATGCATCCTCCAGGCCTGGGAGGTGTAAGTCATTAATTATGCAGCAGGGCTGCCTGTGGAAATTGTGGCTGACACAAACACTGTGAGGAAACCAAGCTCTCTTGATTACCTCTCAAATGGATCTTTCTGCCACATCTGCCGAGTCTTAGAGGCCCCACAGGGGGCCCCTCTGTTCATAGCCAAAGCCTCATCTCTAAAAATAGCCTGGCTGCTTTAAGCCCCAGCTCAGAGCTGTGAACCTTAGCTCCTGCCACCACCAGACAGCTGCAAGCTCAGTGACATGAGAAGGTGCCTTTTGGACTAACTTGTGTCAGTTCTGTCCTTACGCCTTCATCCCTGGGACTGACCTCAGCCCTGTGGGGTGGTGACTGGCCATTGTCCCTATTACCACCTTTTCTGGTCCAGCCCATTATTTTTGTGGCTGATCCGATAGCCTGTGTTCCAGTAACATGTTTTGTCTCTTATTTATATATAGGGCATTATGTTAGCACCCATTTTAATATATCCATGTGCCACACTTCACTCAGTTCTCAAAACATTATTTGTCATAAATATTCATATTTATCCATACTACAGGTTATATATATTTTTACTCTTTATAGCTCTGTATATAATAGAGAATTTTATAAAGATTAACTGAAATATGTGACTCCGTGTGTGTGTGTGTGTGTGTGTGTGTGTGTGTGTGTATAAGAAAGACTATATAGTCTGTTTCTGTGCATCACAATTAGCCAATTAGGTCTGGTCCTTTTGTGTGGAAGTGCGTGATGTCTCTGCTGGAGCTGCTTGCACATAACCAAGAGCCCCAACTCTTGTGACTAAAACACAGGCCTTTTGCTCTTTATAAAATGACTTAAAGAATGCACGAGCTTTATTTTTGCTTTGTTGGGTACACAGTATAAGTGTGAATACGTATGTTATATGCTGCTAATACACTGACTTTTACATTTGCTCTCCAACTCGATTATGAAGTTATCTATTAGTAGATAAAACAAGTTAATTGATGTTTACCTGGACTGGGTTATATTCTCTTGTCACCGTTTGTAAAATCCCAGTTCGTCATCTTTCCACCAATGGATGGGAGGTCTGGCTCTCTGGTAGTTAGTGGTGATGCCGGCAAATTCCCTGTCCTTCAGGAATGCCTGAATGTTCCCTTCTCTTGTAATTCTATGCCTTGGAAGAGAAAAACTGGATGAATTAATGACAAAGGCCTAAAGAGGGCTTTGTCAGTAAATAATAATCATTATTATGTAGAGCTGTGTGTGCTAGGCAGTGTCCCTCAGTTAATTCTCACAGTCAACCAAATCATTACCAATACACAGATGAAGAAACTAAGGCTTGAGGAGGCTAAGCAATTTGAAGTAAGCCTCAGACATAGGTGCTCTTAACTACTGTGCTAATGGTTCTCAAGTGTGATCCCCAGACTGCAGCTTAAGCATCCTCTAAAGGCCTGCTAAACTACAGAGTGCTGGGCCCTGTCCCCAGTGTTTTTGATTTGGGAGGCCTCAAGTGGGCTCAAGGATTCACATTTCTCCCAAGTTCCCAGATGATGCTGCCTGTCCGCCCACACTTTGTGAGCCATGGCCTTTGGCTATGCTGTAAGCTGCCTGACCAGTCTGAGCTTCCGTTTCTCACTGGGAAAATGAAAAGGTCCATTCTAGCTCTAAAATTCCGATGAAGAAAGCACCAAGAAAGGAGAAGATTGGGGACAATCAAGAGATGCTTTCCAAATATCCATTTAAAAGAAGAAAAAAAATCAGCCCTCTAGAGAATGTAATTAAAAAGGAAACATTTCTAGCTGAGGTAGATGAAAGAAAATCTGGAAATGTGGATCTGGAAAGATCTGATTTGATTGTCTCAAATACTGTCTGTGTAAACCCCTCACCCTCACTGTTATTCTCTGTTCTGGAAATGAGTGGGGTGTCTTCAATCAGAAAGGTGTTGACTTATTTTATTAGCGTTTTTACAGCACTCATGATTCATAAAGCAGATGTTTGCACCGATTTCACAGTCTTTGGATCCATGCTGTACAGTCTGGTAGCCACGAGCTACACATGGCTACTGAGCACTTGGAAGGTGGCTGGTCCAAACTGAGATGTGCTGTGAGTGTAAAGTACACACTGGATTTTGAAGACTTAAACCAGAGAACCAAACCCGTTGCTGTCAAGTCAATTCCAACTCATAGCGTACCCTATAGGACAGAGTAGAACTGCCCCATAGGGTTTCCAGGGAGCAGCTGGTGGATTCGAACTGCCAACCTTTTGGTTAGCAGCTGAGCACTTAACCACTTTGCCACCAGGGCTCCAAGTACCAAAAGACTTAGTACCAAAAAAAAATAAAATAAAATAAAATATCTCATGAATAATTTTTATATTGATTACATGATGGAATGATAACACCTTGGATATATTGGGTTAAATAAAATATATTATTAAAATTAATGTCACCTGTTTTCTTTTTACTTTTTCAAATGTGGCTACTAGAAAATTTAAAATTACATATGTAGTTCACGTTGTAAACTTCATTGGGCACCACTGCCCTAGACCTTTAATTTCTTTCATCTTTTTTTCATTCTGATGCGGGGCCCACCCTCACCCACAGAAAATACCAACATGATCATTAAAAGACTGTAAAAACCTTTAGAGATTTCCTAAATGGACCTGAAAGTTTTGAGGTACTTGAAAAACTTGAAATAGTTTTAACAACAGTTATAACACCTGAAAGTTCAAGAGTAGAGAACGAATTCATTGAGCTTTTTAAAGTAACGTATTTAATTGCTTGTTTCAAACGATGAAAGGTTACTTAGTACTTTAATGTTTTCTTTTTTTTTTTTTTTCTCCCAGAAACCTTTAGAAAATCATCACTTGGCCATGATGAAACAGATAAGGAGAAGAAAAAATTCCTGGGATTTTTCAAAGTTAATAAAAGAAGCAATAGTAAGGTAATGGATTAAATATACATATGGTTGTGCATTAAGTAAAAACAATCTCTTGAAATATCTGTACTCAGCCTATCTTGGAATTTTTCTAAATAATTATATTTAGGAATATTAATTCCTTGAAGTAAAAGGGAGCCTGTCCAGATGCACTGAAATGAATGCCTTGTGTTTCCCTTAAGCAGTGATCTTGGGTGATAGTGTTTTATTTACCTGTAGATCACAAAGCCTGTGAGCTCCTGACAGGCCAGGGCCATGAGCCCTTCTTCTGCCTCGTATATACTCAGTACCTGGCGGGTGGTAAAAACTCAATCCCTTGCATCAGTGAGTGAATGAATGCATATGTCAGAGAAGTGACACCTATTAACCACCTACAGGGGACGTGTCCCATCACCTGGAGGATAGTAATCCACTCCATGGTTTGCATGTGTTGGGGTCACCAAGAAAGACACGACTTGCAAACAGGAACTGGTAGGAGCGATGTTTACTCACATAGAGAAAAGACAGAGCAATATCAGCTTCAATAGTGGCTGTCAGTCCCCCAGGACACAGGGAGATGGTCTGCATGCATGCATCTTCTCTCTGCTAAGAACAGATATAGAAGTGGGATTGACCAGGTGCCGTATAACACAGATTTGGCTAAGCAGTTACAGGGAATGTTGACATGTTCTCAGGAAAAAAGGAGAGGGATGTGCTGATAGGCCATTATCTGCTATGGAATGTGTTTTGGATCAAGATGTCCCAGAAAAGGGAGTCAGCCCACACCCTCATACCATCTAGGAAGCCAGGCTGACACATCTGGTCGTAAGCACAAAGTTCATTTGTGGGTCACAGGGAGAGGTGGCAGGGTGTGCTAGGACTGCCCCATTCCACAGCATGTTACAGTTAAGTTTATGTTAAATAGTCACTATTCCTGTAAATAGGAGTCCCTGGCTGGTGCAAACAGTTAAATGCCCCACTACTAGCCAAAATGTTGGTGGTTCAGATCCACCCAGAGGCACCTCAGAAGATAGGCCTGGTGATCTGCTTCTGAAAGATCACAGCCTTGAAAACCCTATGGAGCAGTTATACTGTGCACACATGGGGTTGCCATGAGTCAGAATCAATTTGATGGCAACTAATAACAATAACAGCAGCATCTCCATAAATGGTCTGAAGCCTCAAACCTTGTTTAACATCTGAAGTCTTGAGAAACTAGATTTAAGGCCTCTTGCAGACAGGAGTATCAGTGGTGGAACTGGTACATTTGCTAGTAATTGTTAGATGTTCTTTGGCCCTCCCAATACAATTTGATAATACACTGCATGATAAGTTCATTTTATTGATCTTTTTTGTCTTTATTAAATAAATCTTAAAATCATATTTTGAATACAATGTCATAGAGCTCTGATAAAAGTAAAGATTTTTGCTATCACAATTTTCAAAACCATAAATGCCTAATAACCACCAAGAAAATGCTTGTTACCCATATCATATATTTTAAAGATGTATTTTCCTTATATCTAGTATTTTTTCCTTACCAATAAATGCGACAAAAAAAGAAAAAAATGTTCTAATGAGCATTATGCTTTAATACTTTCACTATAATTGGGAAGTGTTCACCACCTATATATTTTAGAAGAAGCGAGAGGAAAAGTGTAGTCACATTTAGGCACCATCTCTGCATTTGCAGAGACCCGGGCAGCTGTACAGGAGGCTTTCCGTGAGTGATCTTGTCTGCTCTCCAGGGGCCTGTGGAGTCAGTGTGGTGATTCACCCCACGTTTGCAGAGGAGGACACTGGAGCTCAGAGAAAGAAAGTAGCTTGCTCAGGGTGCCAGGATTAGGTCTCAGGGCTGTCTGACGTTAAAGCCAGCGCTTTCCCCACTTGCCCTGTTGTGTTTCCAGATGTGAGAGAAGAGTCGTCAAGTCAGGCAACAATGGAGGTCCAGGTCGTACTCAGGAGGGCGAACTAGTGGAGGCTTCTTAGCAAGTGTCATGGAATGAATTATGTCCCCCCAAAAATGTGTGTATCAATTTGTCTGGGCCATGATTCCCAGTATTGTGTGGTTGTCCTCCATTTTGTGATTGTAATTTTATGTTAAAGAGGGTTAGGGTGGGATTGTAACACCCTTACTAAGGTCACATCCCTGATCCAATGTAAGGGAGTCTCCCTGGGATGTAGCCTACACCACCTTTTATATTACAAGAGATAAAAGGAAAGGGAAGCAACCAGAAAGTTGGGGACCTCCTACCATGCCGGGAGCAGAGTGTGTCCTTTGGACCTGGGGTCCCTATGCTGAGAAGCTCCTAGTCCAGGGGAAGATTGCTGAGAAGACCAACAAAGAGAAAGCCTTCCCCTGGAGCTGACACCCTGAATTCGGAATTCTAGCCTACTTTACTGTGAGGATAAACTTCTCTTTGTTAAAGTCGTCCACTTGTAGTGTTTCTGTTACAGCAGTCCTAGATGACTCAGGCAGCAAGCATCTTCAGCAGTTTTTCACAAGCCTCCACTCATGTTTTCTTTACCTCTCCTGGCGCTTTGATTACTGTTTTGTGATTCTTATATTTATTACTGGTTCTATATACTTTTCCCCATGTTCCTGCCTGTCCTTTGAAAGTCTGTGCTCAATGTTTCTCTAAGATCTTTTGAGACTTTTTCTCTTCTCTCTTCTCCTTTCCTTTCTTTTTGTTTCCTGTTGGGATTACTTGAAATTAAAGGACCAGAATTTTGTGTTTGAATTTCCTGCCTGTCTCTGAATTTTTTTCCCTGAAATTTTTAGAATAAATTTGCTGGGACGGCATTCCTCATTGTCCTTCTTGGGCCTCCATTTCCCACTGGATTTCTTACCATTTCCTCATTCCTCACACTTTGATCTCAAGCTATTCTTCCTGTGTCTTCTTCCTTTGAGAGATAAAACTACCAGCAAAGAAAGTAAAAAAATCATTTAGAAATGCTTTTGTTTTAAGCAAAATAAAGTAGCCTACAGAGTTGGAGATTTGGAGACTTTCTGATTTGGGTTTTGAGAGTTTTGGGGGAGATGCCCTGTTGAAAGAGTGTGAAAAGGATCAAGGAAGGATGACCCATCAGTGAAAATGCTGCATATGATAAAGTTGGGTCCACTGATGATGAGTGACTTTTCTTTCTGTCGTGAAGTACTCAATTCTTTTCTCTGTCTTGAACCTGCTGTAATTGTTTTTCATGTTATATATATCTCATCTTTCATTTATAACTTTCTATTTTATTTTGTTTTGTTCCACACATCCCCTATTTGATCTTATCCTTATTGGATTGTTATTTTGCACTAACTTCTTAATTCATCATTTTTCTTCTTTTTTATTATAGAAGATAGTGTGTTAAATACAACTGCACTTAATCTTTCTAGAAACTTGGTGAGAGAGATATTATCCACCCCACTTTACAGGTGAAGACACTGAGGCTAAGCAACTCTGCGCTAATCATAGCCAGTAAATGCCAGAATTAATTAATGCTAGAATTCATACCCAGGTCTTTCTTTCCATAGTCCTTGCTCTTAATCACATGTTTACATTGTACATTACTTAACAAGCCTTAGTAATTTGGAGTAAATTATTTTTGAAATCATATCCTGTGATGCCAGATGGTCTACATACCTCTCAGTAACTAGAACACTAAGAACGGTGAAATATCAAGGCATTTAAAGCTAAATTGGCTCCTTACTATCTTTTCCACAAAAGGAAAAAGAAATACATGTGTACATATGTTTGTGCATGTGTGTGTATATATATATATGTATGTGTATTGTATATGTGATGTTACATATATTACATACATGTAAGGCATTATGTATTTATTTAAATATATATATTTATATATATATGCAAGACATTATATATTTAAATACACACACACACACACACATATGTACGTACAGGCAGTCCCAGGTTATGGATGTCCAGCTTGTGTACACACTATAGTTAGGAACCAACCTCCATAAAGCCTATTATGTTAAAAATTTGAGGTACATACAGTGGTTTGTAATAACAAACAGGTGCTACTTTGTGACACGCATCCAAACATTATTATTAATATTACTGAATTATTATGTTAAAGATGTTTTAGTATATCTGGAAGTGTTTCTTCAATTTTTTTATGCATGGAAAGGTACACTATATACTACACACTAAGACAGACATTTGATGGACATTAGATATGAACCATACCTAACTGTCCTGACTTACATACAAATTCAACTTAAAGAGAGACTTAGGAACAGGACTTGTTCATAATCCGAGGACTGCCTATAAGACATGTATGTATGTCAATGGATAATAAGCTTAAAAGGGATACAATTTTGGCTGAAGTAGACAAGAGAAAATGTCTTTTCTTGTTTTAAATCTTTTGTGTTTTAATATTTTGAAAATATTTGATAATTTATAACATTTTAACAGTATTTGTTTGCCTAACCCAAGAATCTAACAATCACCTAAGATGTAGGTTAACAATTGGATTCTTAGGTCATGTCCTAGTAGGCTAGGTTGGGCCCTGTTATTAGGTACTGTCGAGTTGGTTCCAACTCTAGCGACCCTGTGTACAACAGAACAAGATACTGCCCCGTCCTGTGCCATCCTCACAATCCTTGCTATGCTTGATCCCATTGTTGCAGCCACTGTGTCAGTCCATCTCATTGAAGGTCTTCCTCTTTTTTGCTGACCCTCTACCAAGTATGATGTCCTTCTCCAGGGACTCGTCCCTCCCAATAACATGTCCAAAGTACATGAGACGAAGTCTCGCCATCCTCGCTTCTAAGGAGCATTCTGGTTGTACTTCTTCCAAGACAGATTTGTTCATTCTTCTGGCAGTCCATGGTATATTCAATATTCTTCATCAATGCCATAATTCAAATCAAAAGCATCAATTCTTCTTGGGTCTTCTTTGTTCATTGTCTAGCTTTTTCATGCATATGAGGTGATTGAAAATACCATGGCTTGGGTCAGGCATATCTTAGTTATGTAGATGACATCTTTGCTTTTTTAACACTTTGAAAA